ATTGAAATTGAGACTACAGTTTCGGAATCCAGCTGGAAAGAGGAGAAGAGGTGGTATGGAAGAGAGAGAGGAAGGGCAACACACACGCATATATATACATATACGTGTAGATCTGTCTCTCTTTATCTATTAGTTTGTCTTTTTATCTTTATATATATCTATATGTTTATCATGCACACACCCACATATATATTTGTATATATGATATATATATATAACACATATCTACATATATATATGCATATATATTTGTGTATGCACATATATATATACATACAAATATATATGTATATGTATGTTCATACATATACACACACACATATATATATGTGCATGTACATATCTACATATAAATACATTTATCTATCTTCATACATGAATATATATAAATCAATTTATATACGTGTATGTGTGTGTGCATGTATATGTGTGTGCGTGCAGTGTATCTTCGGTATGGCCAAAAGAAAAGAAAACAAATCATAAAAAAGAAGTTATTTATTTTGTAAGAAGTTCAAAGTTTTTTGCCCAACACCAAGAGAACCATTTTGAGCCATTGTGAACGCCTTTTACGGTTCGTTGTCTCGGAAGTCCGTTGGCAATTCGGTTCGCTTGTTAGTTCCTTGAGGAAGCGAGAACCACGCTGACGGGAGAGTAACCTTGGTTCTGCTGGTTCCTGTTCACTTGGGCGCTGTACTGGTTGTAGACGCGGTTGTTGTACTGGTTGCTGTACTGGTTCTGAGAAGCGGATCCATAGCGGGTCAGAAGGTAGTTTTGGTTCTGGCTGTAGAGGCTGGGCGAAGGACGGTTCAGGTTCTGATTGAAGCGGTTGGTTCCATAACGCTGGAAGTTGTACCTGACGTCGTTGCGGCTGGAAAGGCTTTGGTCATAGTTCTGCTGGTACTGGTTGCGGTTCTGCTGAAACTGGTTGCGGTTCTGCTGGAACTGGTTGAGGTTCTGCTGGTACTGGTTGCGGTTCTGCTGGAACTGGTTGCGGTTCTGTTGATACTGGTTGAGGTTCTGCTGGAACTGGTTGCGGTTCTGCTGGTACTGGTTGAGATTCTGCTGGAACTGGTTGCGGTTCTGCTGGAACTGGTTGCGGTTCTGCTGGAACTGGTTGCGTTTCTGTTGGTATTGATTGCGGTTCTGGTATTCATTTAAATTCTGGGAGTATTGATTACGGTTCTGTGAAAATTGATAACTATTCTTGCGGTCCTGTTGGTACTCGTTGAGGTTCCGAGAATACTGAATAGGGTTTAGCTGATATTCGTTGTTCTGCTGGTTCTGATAGCGGTTCTGTTGGTACTCGTTGCTGTACTGGGAGTACTGATTGCTGTTCTGAGAATATTGTCTCCTGTTTTCCAGATTCTGGTTGCGATTTTGTGAGTATTGGTACTGGTTACGGTTCTGTTGGTTTTGACTATAATTCTGGGAGTATTGGCCACGGTTCTGCTGGTCTTGGTTGCGGTTCTGGGAGTACTGGTCACGGTTCTGCTGGTACTGGTTGCGATTCTGTTGGTACTCATTGTAGTTCTGTGAATACTGGCCACGGTTCTGCTGGTACTGGTTGCGATTCGGTACTCATTGTAGTTCTGGGAGTACTGGCCACGGTTCTGCTGGTACTGGTTGCGATTCTGTTGGTAGTTGGTTCCCTGTTGGATAGCACTGTACTGCTTGGCCTGAGCCTGCAGTCTCTGCTCCTGTCCCTGGAAAGCCTCGCCCGTGTACTCCTTGCGGACGGTGGCCTGGAAGCCTGTGCCGGGAGCCACCGAGTAGTCGACCACGCGCAGAGACCCGTCGGGGTCCATGACCGAGTACTGACCCACCACCACGTCACCTCGACGTTCCTCTCGGGCAGACTTCATGTCCCCGGTGGATTTAGCGTCGACCTCGTAAGCCCAAGCGTACTCCGGGTTCTGAAGACAACAAGTGATAAAAAAAATGATTTATGGATATAGAGAAAATCTACTATACATATCAACAATGCAGTAGGATACTACTGGATCGTTGTATTCGACTTGGCCAAGACTGTATTGCAGGGCCATCTCTTCTGAGCGTTCTTTGAAGGCTTGGGAGAAGGCCTGGTGGTTCTGGAAGAGTTCTGGGGAAGGCTGGAGTCCCTGCTCCACCTCCACGCCTCGCGAATCCAGCATATAGGAGCCATCCTGCGCTCCCACTCTTACGGCCGCCCCCACACACAGTAATATCGCCAATGCCAGCTGCAAGAGGTTAAAGATAAGGAAATTCACTGAAATAAAAGTAATACAAACATAGACAAGAAAAAAATATATCTCTACTCTTTACCTTCATGGTGAGGGATACGAGGCGTGGCGTATAAAATTAGAATCAGATCATCGAATTATAAGTTATGCAGAACAGGGAAAAGAAAGAAATATCTACTTTTTACCTTCATGGTGAGGAATACGAGGCTGATGCAGTGAAGTCGACGGCGACCGCTTTATATAGCCTAAGCAGTGGCCCCGCCCACCACGCTCGCGTCGCCTCAGATATCCTGCAAGGTCGGTCAGTCTGCCATCCTCATCCCTATCGTCTGTCTTCATAGCAAGGACATTGCTCCTTGAAGAACATCGATTGCAATTCAGATTTCATTTGAAATTTGTTTATTAAACGTTCTAAGTGACAGAATATAATCTACAAATAAAGAAGGAATCAAAGCAAAGTGAAAACTTTACCAGACCCATGCTTTCGTAAAACTCATGGCAACACATACACACACATATATACATATAAACATATATGTATATATGTATACGTATGTGTGCATGCGTGTTTTTATGTATGTGTATGAGTGTGTGTTTGTATGTGCACTTATGTCTATGTGTATATATATAGATAAATAAACGAGTATATATGAGAGGCCATCGACAAGAATGAATGTCATACATTCGAAACGACAGTTGCTGTTCTTTTATCTTTAAAAAATAAGTGACAGAATATAATATATATATAAAGAGTAGACCAAAGCAAGGTGAAAACTTTTCCAGACCCATGCTTTCATAAAACCCATGGCAACACATACACATATACATATATATGTATATATGTATGAAAGTGTGCATGAGGGTTTTTCATTTATGTGCATGAGTGTGTTTGTGTGTGCCCTTGTGTCTATGTGTGTATATATATATAGATAGATAAACGAGTATATGTTAGTGGTCATCGCCATGAATGGATGTCATAAATTCGAAACGACGGTTTTATCTTTTAAAAGTACAAGTCGATTCTTTCACAGCGCCGAAGAAATCTCACAAGTGGACAGCCATGAATTTCGAATGAATGAAATTTAATCTTTCCATTTTGAAAAAGCTACTACGTTTTAAAGTTTACTGATCCTAATAATGATCCTAAACGTAACTCGCTGCTTCTGTACTAAGGATGATTTTATAAGTAACACTTCCACTCCTTTTATGCCAACATAAAGACGGTTCTCGTGATCTGTTATGCTTGCCGTTTGTTGGTCTTCTTGTTTCAGTGTTAAACCCTATTATGCCTGGTATTTTGCATCACATTCTGAGTGTTAGAGTTTAGAATAACACTTGATATGTTTATTGAATTTTATTCTTTTATTCCGTAACACAGCGTTAAGGCTGATGTTCTTACAAATATCTAGCGGGAAATACTAATGATAATAGAGTTTTCACGAGGATATTTTTTATTGTAATTTCTGTCTCCCGCCCACGTATTTCCAAGGTAGTACCATCTACGGAGAGCAGTTGTAATGAAGAAATGTATCATCTCTCTCAATCCCTAGATAAATCAGTTCCATTTTATTCTACAGTCGAATTTAATCCTGCGCGACTCCGAGTGCACAGTAAACAAAATAACGAAGGGAGGAACAAGAACACACGCGACTATGCTGAGGGCCTTTTGGCTGTCTTGTTTTATTCAGGTCTTCGGCATATTCATGTTTTTTTGTCCTTCCCTACTTTTTGTTTACTTTCTCCAGCACGAATCCTGAAAGGGTATACTGTACTGATCAAGTTAAAACTCCAGCACTGACTCACCTGGCAACACCATCTCGGGGATAGCAATAACCTTTATTTAACTACGGTCGCGGATCTGATATACTTTCAGAGATTGAAATCAGTAGCAAGCTTTTTTTTATTTGGATTCGACTGCAATCGTCTACGGCCAAAGGGCATTACAGAGTTATCCTTATGTCTTCTAATATATATGAATATGAACTCCAGGTCATGAAATGTTAGATAAAATATAAAGGATTGTTTGCACCTCATCATACAGGTAACTTTAGCATGAGGGTAAAACTGTTAGGAGTTGCAATGTTCTTGATCATTATCATTTCCTTGATATCTTGTAAGAAGAAATATATAGTAGAAAAACACACAATGTAAAAACTAGATTTATTGAAATTGAGACTACAGTTTCGGAATCCAGCTGGAAAGGGAGAAGAGGTGGTATGGAAGAGAGAGAGGAAGGGCAACGCGCACGCATATGTATACATATGCGTGTAAATCTGTCTACCTCTTTATCTATCAATTTGTCTTTTTATCTATATCTATATCTATATGTTTATCATACACACACACACACATATATATTTGTATATATGATATATATATAACACATCTACATATATATGCGTATATATTTGTGTATGCATATATATATATATATATATATATATATATATATATATATATATATGTATATATATATATACAAACATATATGTATATATATGTTCATGCATATACCCACACATATATATGTGTATGTACATATATACATATAAATACATTTATCTATCTTCATACATGAATATATATAAATCAATTTATGTATGTGTGTGCGTCCAGTGTATCTTCCGTGTAGCCAAAAGAAAAAACAAATCATAAAAAAAGTTATTTATTTTGTAAGAAGTTCAAAGTTTTTTCCCAACACCAAGAGAACCGTTTTGAGCCATTGTGAACGCCTTTTACGGTTCGTTGTCTAGGAAGTCCGTTGGCAATTCGGTTCGCTTGTTAGTTCCTTGAGGAAGCGAGAACCACGCTGACGGGAGAGTAACCTTGGTTCTGCTGGTTCCTGTTCACTTGGGCGCTGTACTGGTTGTAGACGCGGTTGTTGTACTGGTTCTGAGAAGCGGATCCATAGCGGGTCAGAAGGTAGTTTTGGTTCTGGCTGTAGAGGCTGGGCGAAGGACGGTTCAGGTTCTGAGTGAAGCGGTTGGTTCCATAACGCTGGAAGTTGTACCTGACGTTGTTGTTGCGACTGGAAAAGCTTTGATCGCGGTTCTGCTGGTACTGGTAGGACTGATCGCGGTTCTGGTAGGACTGGCCGTGGTTCTGCTGGTACTGGTTGCTGTTCTGCTGGAACTGGTTGCGGTTCTGGTAGGATTGATCGTGATTCTGGTAGGACTGGTCGTGGTTCTGATGGTACTGGTATTGGTAACGATTCTGTTGATACTGGTTGTGGTTCTGGTAAGACTGGTCGCGGTTTTGCTGGTACTGATTGCGGTTCTGCTTATACCCGTTACGATTCTGTAAAAAATGGTAACGGTTCTGCTGATTCTGATTGCGGTCCTGTTGGTACTCGTTGAGGTTCTGAGAATACTGAATGGGCTTCAGCTGGTACTCATTATAGTTCTGTTGGTTCTGATAGCGGTTCTGCTGGTAATCGTTGCTGTACTGAGAATATTGGTTGTGGTTTCGCTGATATTGATTGCGGTTTTGAAAATATTGGTTGTTTTCCAAGTTCTGGTTGCGATTTTGTAAGTATTGGTACTGGTTGCGATTCTGTTGGTTTACATCGTTGTTCTGAGAGTACCGGCCACGGTTTTCCTGGTACTGGTTGCGGTTCTGTGAGTACTGGCCACGGTCCTGTTGGTACTGGTTGCGATTCTGTGAGTACTGGTCACGGTCCTGTTGGTACTGGTTGCGATTCTGTGAGTACTGGCCACGGTTTTCCTGGTACTGGTTGCGGTTCTGTGAATACTGGCCACGGTTCTGCTGGTACTGGTTGCGGTTCTGTTGGTAGTTGCTTCCCTGTTGGATAGCACTGTACTGCTTGGCCTGAGCCTGCAGTCTCTGCTCCTGTCCCTGGAAAGCCTCGCCCGTGTACTCCTTGCGGACGGTGGCCTGGAAGCCTGTGCCGGGAGCTACCGAGTAGTCGACCACGCGCAGAGACCCATCGGGGTCCATGACCGAGTACTGACCCACCACCACGTCACCTCGACGTTCCTCTCGGGCAGATTTCATGTCCCCGGTGGATTTGGCGTCGACCTCGTAAGCCCAAGCGTACTCCGGGTTCTGAAGACAACATCAAGTGATAAAAAGAAAAAAGAAAAAAAAAACATACATACTACCACTGGCTTTTGAGTATAGAGAAAATTTAATATACATATCAGCAAGGCAGTGAGATATTAACTGGATCATTGTATTCGACTTGGCCAAGACTGTATTGTAGGGCCATCTCTTCAGAGCGTTCTTTGAAGGCTTGGGAGAAGGCCTGGTGGTTCTGGAAGAGTTCTGGGGAAGGCTGGAGTCCCTGCTCCACCTCCACGCCTCGTGAATCCAGCACATAGGAGCCATCCTGCGCCCCCACCCTCAGGGCCGCGCCCACACACAGTATTAATACCAGTGCCAGCTGCAAAGTGTAAACATGCAGATTTAAGCATATCTCAGATGTTTAGAGAAAATAATGAATTATACCTGACGTCAGCAGAATACAAGGAAAGTGAAGAGGAAAAATACCCTACTTACTTCCATGGTGAGAAGTGCGAGAATGAGGATAGCGATGGAAGTGATAGCTTATATAGCCAAAGTGTTGACTCCTACCCTTTGCCTGTCGCCTCAGGTATCCTGCAAGGTCAGTCTTCTGACTTAGATGACAGATCTGTGCGAGTAACAAGATACTCTGCATATGGGATTGTTTTGTAATGAAAAAAATCTCAAAGTGTGATATATGTGTGTGTGTGTGTGTGTATGTGCATATGTAAATGTATTGAAAAAAATATATCTATATGTCAGAGGGGATAGTACTACGAGTATATGTGAATTTGCAGAATCTAAAGATAACTACAGATACTCGATTTTTTTTTAGTTTAAAATATCATAAACAAGCTGATAAGATATGATACCGGAGAATGTAAATATAGGAACAGAACAGAATATAGGAAAGCATATGCATGTATATATGTATGTATCTCTCTATCTGCCTTATTTGTCTATATATCTATTCTCATATATATGCACACACACACACACACACATGTATATGTATATATATATATATATATATATATATATATATATATATATATATATATATATATACATATATATGCGCGCGCGTGTATATATATATATATATATATATGTATATATATATATATATATATGCATATGTATATATATGGGTACACACACATTATATATATATAATATATATGTGTGTGTCTGTGTGATAAAGAATGTTTGCAGTGAATAAAGACAAAGACGTGGGCTTGGCTCGGAAGTTCCCAACTTGGATTCTCATCAAGTTAGGCTACCTATTTCAAGCAACCTTGATATATATATATGTGTGTGTGTGTGCGTACACACACATACACACACACGCACACACACACACACACACAAGCACACATACACACGCATATATATATGGATACATACATACAGTGGTTAGAGTACTGAACTCCGGCCTTTGTGGTCCCAAATTCAATTCCCCGCCGCGGCGGTCGTAAAAATGCCTGCGCTCTGACTGCTGGCTCGAGCCCGATATGACGGCGCGAGAATGACATATCGCCTTGAGAAGCCAAAATGTAGGTGTCATAGGGGAAGTCACCGCCGTGGTATAGATGTTAGCGCGTCGAACTGCGGTTGATTAAGAAGGGCATCCAATCGGGCAAGGGTGGCACTGCCAAATAACCTCTCAATAGTGAATTGAGAGAGGCCTATATCCTGCAGTGGAGTGCCTGATTGGATGCCCTGAACCGCGGTTTGACGCGCTAACATTTGTGCCACGGCGGTGACTTCTCTTACGACACCTGCGATTGACTTCTCAAGGCAATATGTCGTTTCCTAGGGCTCGAGACAGCAGTCAGAGCGCAGGCATTTTTACGACTGCCGCGACGGAGAAATGAACTCGGGACCACGAGGGTCGGAGTCGTGTTCATTGGACCATCGCGGCAGTCACATATATGTATGTATATATATGTATATATGTGTATATATGTATATACATATGTATATATACATATACACACACACACATATGCGTGTGTGTATGTATGTATGTATATCTGTTTGTGTGTATGTTTGTAAATATAATAAAAAAAAAATATATATATACGTATGTATATGCATACACGCACACACACACACACACACACACACACACACACACAGGTATATATATGTATATGTGTGTGTGTGTGTGTGTGTTTGCATGACACAATTGCGTCAGTGTGTGTGTGTGTGTTTGCATGACACAATTGCGTCAGTGTGTGTGTGTGTGTTTGCATGACACAATTGCGTCAGTGTGTGTGTGTGTATAATTATATATATATAAGCACACACTCATTCACACGTACATATATGAACGCACACACGCACGAATATATACGTAAATGTCAGCTAGATTAAACGTCTTGTTGATATGGGCGTTCGCTGTGCACGGAGGTGTTGCACGTTTACTAAATTAAATTATCTACTAACGTTAATCGCGAGCAGCAGGTAGCGTGTTCTCGGATGGTAACTGTTTTGTGTATATAAAAAAGTTAATTAGATAAGCTATGGAGGACATTGTTTGGTTTCACGTTGTATGATATAAAATGACGAACATAAAAGCTGCAGAGACGTGCTAAGCCATTAACATTTGGTAGCTCCCATGTACTGATAAGTAGCTTATCGCGGCAATCAGATAACTGATATATTTACAGAACATGCTGTAATGACTTCAGTTCCGTATACACGATTGTGACAGTACTTGCTACATTCAGCGAGCCTCTCCTCTCTCGTGAGTTTTAGGCATAAATTATTGATTATGAAAAACATTTATACTGTGATTCTGTTAATCTGAGAGTCAGGCAACTGACGGTTCAATATTGGCATCAGAGGTAAAACTCTACGATTAGTTGATATATTCTCACGACATATTATGGTGAGGTGGTGCAGAAAGGTTTACCTGTTCGGAGTGACTAATATGTCAGCTCGCAGTCAACTTAGCACCGTTAAATTTGGCAAAAGCTGCTGTTAAGTTGTGAATTCTCTGGTGCTAAGTTTTTTTTCTATTGGCTGGACAAAGCATTAATAGTGCTAGCTATCTAGGAAGATGAAACTATTGTATTCAGAACGTTTATATTGAGTGATGACTAGATTTTTTGGGTGAAAAAATAAACTAAATCATTATTTAGACTAATTGTTTCAAAAATAAGCTGGAAAATTCTTAATGCATGACTCAGTTGCGTCCGTCAGCCATCTTATAACCATCGCCATATTTTCAGTAGGGATTAGAAATGTGTTAGGTATACCCGAACCAATTATAGGTGCGTATAGAACAATACCATCAATATCAGCAACATTGTATAGGTATACACACACACACACACACACACATACAAACGTGTGTGTGTGTGTGTATGTATGTGTGTGTGTGTGAAATTGATAACAATAATAACAACACCAACAATGATGGAAATAATAGCTATAATGATAATAATGATAATAATAATGCTGATATAATAATGATTATGATAATGATAATAATAATAATAATAAGGATAATAATTACTTTCATCATCATCATCATTATTATTATTATCATTATTATATTTATCATTATCTTTACTATTATCATTATTCTTACTCAAATTCATATGCATCTTTATATAATTATAATGATTATTGTTATCCTTTTTATTATTATTATCATCATTATTATATCAGTATTATTATCATTATTATTATCATTATAGAAATTATTTTTATCATTGTTGGTGTTGTTGTTATCATTGTTATCATTT